TAAGAGCATGGGGCATCTTGGATGGGTGGGTACCCGTGTGTAACATACCTGGCAGCTCTGCCTCGGAGCGGGGAGGTGGGGGGGATGGTGTCAGTCATTGTGAGGAAGAGATTGAGATGAGGGAGCAAGAGCTCCAGCAATGGGGTTCACCAAGTACAGGAGTGGAGATGTGCTGGGGGATGCTATGGGGTGCAGCATCCCATGGGAGGCATAGAGAGAAGCACAGTCCTTCCAGAAAGGCTGCTCATAAGCCAGAAACAACCGCCCCAACCTCACCAAAGCCCCCCACAGACAGCAGGACAAGCTAGTTTCTGCACCACTCACATTTGTCCCCTCTCACGTTCCCTTCAAGCCCTAACTCTGGCAAATATGGTCTTGTCCCATTGCAAGGCAGGCTCATGGCTCCGGACGAGGATCAAGACAGCCCTTTGCCAGGATCCGTGCAGCTCCCAGCCCCACCCACTCCCCACATTGAACCTTAAACATCCTCTTTCTGATAGGAAGAAATCCTCACCCTCCTGCTCACCTTGCAGCCTTGGCTGAAGTACCTCTCACAGCACGGCCAGATGTTTAATCTCTGGAAGCACTTGAAGATAATTTTAGAAAAAGCTGTGGTACACTGCTGCAAGCTCTGCAGAGCCAGGGATTTTACTCTGCCTCTGAGTGACTTCTGCCAGCACTTTGTTCGGAAAGAAACAAACGCAGGAGGCAAAGTGGCATTTCAGGTCTGCCAGAGAGCAGAGCCATCCTGTCCCCAGGACGGAGCTAAAATGCTTCATGCTGAGCTTTCCCTGAGCTCCCAGCCAGCGCTGTCGGTGCCCTTTTGGTTAATGGGAAGCACTTCCCCAAGGCAGGCTGCCACATTCAGGCACTCGCCTGAGTGCCCTTTCTGCCCATGTATCCGCTCATGGTGCCGATGTACCCAGGCTTTTAAGAGATTTTAAACAAAACCGTTATGCCAGAAGTAGAAGCACATGAACAGCAGCAAATGTATTACCAACGCTGCTGGAGCGGGTGCTGCATCCCATTAGCTTTGCTGCGAAAGTGCACAAAGTGCTGGAATAAATAATGCTGGAGGAAAGGATGCTGAAAGATGGGAAAGAGGGATAAAAAGGGTAAAATGCAAGAGAAATTTCCCATGGATAACTCACAGCACCCTCCCCAGAAGAGATAATTGCCATTTAAAATAGGAACACTGTGGATCAAATGTAACATGGGCTGCAACAGAGCAAAAAGTATTAAAAATTACTATTAAAACTGTAAGGAGGCTAATGGGAAGACATTACAATGGAAGGATCATTAATGCTCCAGAGAAGGCTATTAATAGAATTCCTTAAAGATCAGCCTAGAGATAAATTTTATTTAATGGTTTTCATTAGTGATCTTGTAAAATGGGAGTTTCTCTAAGAAAATGTACTGTTGAGAAAGTTGGGAGAAGTTTTGAACTGGATAAGGGACTTCGTAAGGACATGAACCAGAGGATCCGAAGAAACAACAGGCTGGTACAAGTTCATATGCTCAGGGACTAAACAGCAAATATTGCTACTCTAACCAGCTAAGATTGCCGTAGGAGAAATCTCTGGCTTTTAAGGAACCCCAGGATGACTGAAACAAAACAAATGCAACCTGACAAGACTTCACAGCAGAGATAGTGTCTGTCAGAGCACCAGCACCACTGGAAAACGCGCTAGAAGGATGACCGAGAAGTGATACCCTGCTCTGGTCTCTCACTGTTGGGAGGGTGATTTTGAATGAAGACTAAGTCCAGGCTGTGATAACAAGGATAATCAGGTAAATGTAAAAGCTGCCTGGTGAGACAGGGCTGGAAGGGTATCATTTATTCAAGCTGTTGCTAGAAAGGCTGCCATGGGAAACAGCTGCTCCACTTGTACAGCAAGGAGGAAATGAACTCAGCCAAAATGCAACAGGAGCAGAAGACACAGGACCTGGCCTTAAAAGTGGCTGTGAGTGACCAGGGCAGAAAACTAGGGGTGGATGTGGAGTCCTGGAGGGTCAATGCTCTGGGAGAGAGCCCTGAGCTGGGTGCATTACCCTGGGGACTGCACGCTGGCAGCAGCAGACTGGCCCCATCTACACCAGCCCTCCAGCCTGCTTTTCCTGCGAAGCCATGTTCAGAGGCTGTGATCACTCGGGAAAGTTTCCATGAGATAGTTTGGCTGTGGGATATGGGAAAGTCTTTCACATCCCTGTCACAGTTAGGGTTGCAACCTCCCACATCCGAGCTGGCAGGCAGTGGGTCCTGCCCCATCTTGTGGAGGAACAAAGTCCCAAGGGTTTGCAGCAGCCGAGCCCTGCAGCCCACATGTACAGGGAGGGTGCCCGTGCTGGGTTTTGAGAGCCACCAAGAGCCCAGCTCTACCTGGGCTCCTCTGCAGGGATGGGGACGCCCCTGTCACCTTCATCTGGGGACCTCTGTTTCTTCCTTCATCAGCTCAGCTCCATACCTCACTTGGAAATAACTTTCTACTCCCTGCCAGGGGTGGGGGGAGGAAAGAAGGTGCATCTTTCATGCCCTGAGCTAATCAGAGAAAGCTATAAGAAACAAAACTACTTCTGGCCAGGTCTGCAGCACAGGGTTGCCCTGTGCTGAGTAGCCTGATGTGCCCAGACCTGGGACCCATCAGCAGAGCCCAAGCTGAGCCCCAGGAAAGTCCATGTGAGCCGGGAGAGCTGGTGGCAGGAGCAGGTCGTTGATGTGTGGTAAAGCAACCACGTAGGAGGCTGCAGTCCACCCACAGCATTTTCTAAGTGTGCTACTCCCCCCATAATTTCTTCTGCCATTGCCGCATGTTGGGAGCAATGAAAAAACATCCCTTTCACTTGGAAAAACCCTTCTCCGAGAACAACCTGTTCTCCTCATTGCCGTCAGCGGGCAGGCAGCGCTCAGCTTGTTCCACGCTCCTTTTGTGCGCGAACAAAGAGCTTTCCATGGCAAGAGCCTGCGCTGCAGTGGGAGGCGAGGAACCACTCCGCATGCTGCCACCACAGCTGAAAGCATCACATCCCTCTCCTGACAGCCTTAATCCCAGCACCCAAATTCAGAGAACCCCTTGTCTGGCAAGGAGCTTGCTCTGCTCAGCAGAAGGCTTCCCATGGGTCGGTTCATCACTTGTCAGTCACTTCCAATTCCTTTCGAAGCAGCAGGGCTGCAGGTATCATCTCTAATCTCTTCGGTCCAGTCCCCATCTCTCCACGGTACGGCTCCTGGCAATCAGTAGTTATTTACTTGTGCAGTCTCCCTGGGATGCTCCCTCCCTTAGCCTCCATGCCTTTAACCTTGAATCAAAGACATTAAATCATCTGAAGAGGATTTCAGCCCGCTCCGTATCGTTATCTTGTTCTTGCAGGGTGAGTTTAACTTTGAAATCTCACCTCTGTCTTCTGCCAAGGCTGGGCCTTTTCCTTTCCTGGAGTTTCTTGTTTGCCTCATCTCTGCAGCCTACCTATTCTCTAGCCTAGAGAATCAGCTCTACCTTCCTGCACAAGCCTGTGCACCACCAGGGAAGGCTTCACTTCATGGGACCACGGCTTTCTCCCACCAGCACATCAGGAAGGATGGGGACACCCATCACCTCACCTGAGCTGTGTGTGAGGGGACACCACAGCTGCAGCACAGGCAGTTTGGGCTCCTCAACCAGCTCCCAGACCCCTCTCTCTTGTTCCTGCAGTGCCTCAGTTTCCCTTTAGGTGCCTTCCTGACATGGGTGTTACTTGGAATTACTCAGGAAATGGGGCCCCTTTGAAACTAGTGATGTGGTCCTGGAGACCACTGTTACCAGCAACTAAAAGCTCTTTTGGAGGTTAAAGGGGTTTGCTGTGTCATTTCTGCCCTCGCAAAATAAGACTTTTTGTTATTTACATCCAGAGAGAAAATAATCACAAAAAGTAAGTCTACAAGGGATGTTCTCTACCCTGTGTCCCTGCTGCACCACAGGAGCAGCTCCATCTAAACTCACCCTGAAAAACAACCTCCATGCTGCCCTTCTGCCGCTGGGAATGGGACTGATGAAGCTGTCTGAGCCCTTTCAAGCCACCTTCTCCCCAGGACCCCTGACAAATGGGTTTCTCTTTCCTCACAGGGCCCTGACCAGAGAGAGGATTCCCTCTGTGAGCCAGCACAGTTGCTGACAGCAGGGACTAACACAAGGCCTTGTCTGCTGCAAAGGGCAGATACAAAGGGAAAGTTTAATGAGACTTACAGCTGAGCTTCTGAAATTACATAGCAGTGACTAATTTTGCTAGATTGCGTAAGAAAAGCTACTGCTTTCTCGGGAAAACTCTTTTCTTGTATTCTCTCAGTCCTCATTTTTCTCGTAAGCCTGTAGGCACTCAGTGCCTCTAAAAATCCCTGCCCTCCTCTCAACATCCCCATGGTACCTCAGCAGCCCTGGGGCTGGCAGAGGCTGGCTGGCAGGGACACACGTACCTGGCTGCCAAGGGACACAATTCAGGTTTAAGTGGGCTGGAGCGTCTGGGGGGTCCAGACACCCTGTTTCAGGAGGGGTTTGTGGAGCAGCTCAACCTTTGCCCACTGCAGTTCTGAGTTGATGCTTTCTTTGCAGGGTGTCTTCAGGAGGTCGCAAAGCTCGGTTCCTCCTGATTGCTGTCACCAACCAAACATGCAAACTGCATGAGACCCCACGGGACCTGAGCCCACGGTCGCTCAGAGAAAAGGAGAAGGCAGGAGAGGAAGGGAGCAGATGAGACCCACCAGCAGCCACCACAGGGGATCAGCTCCAGCACTGAGCTCCCAGACGGGGCCAGCAGGCACCAGCAAGTCACAGGGCCACATCTTCTCCTAGACCATGTCACTCCTAGCGTACAAGGCCAAACACGTGAAGTGACTCTGCAATGTTCTTCAAGGCCACTGTAGGCCCAAGGTTGCTTTGCAAAGGGCTCAAGGGCTGCCCGGTAGAGGCTCACACCAAATAGCTTTGGAGCCGGTGAGAGCAGGACTGCTCCATCCATGTGACTGCACTATGGATCCATGTTACAACCATACGAGCTCTCAACAAAGGATGGGATTCTTCCCACAGCTGCTGGTCGGGTTCTGCCTCACCATCCTCATCGTGATGACTCTCTGCGGTAACATCATCGTCTGCCTGGCCGTCACTCTCGACCGCCGGCTCCGCAGCCTGACAAACTGCATCATCGTCTCCTTGGCCATCACCGACCTGCTGCTGGGCCTCCTGGTACTGCCATTCTCTGCCTTCTATGAACTTGCCAAAGAGTGGCCCTTTGGCAGCACTTTGTGCAACATCTACACCAGCCTGGACGTCATGCTGTGCACAGCTTCCATCCTCAACCTCTTCATGATCAGCCTGGATCGCTACTTTGCCGTCACCACCCCACTCCGCTACAGCCAGCTGGTCACTCCCTCCCGGGTGGGCATGGGTTTGATTGTTATTTGGACCGTTTCACTGATGGTCTCCTTCCTACCCATCCACCTGGGCTGGAACACCAACGGAACAGCAGTCCAAAACACAGCTCCCAACTGCAGCAAGGAGTGCACGCTGGAGGTGAACCCCACGTACGGGCTAGTGGATGCCTTGCTCACCTTCTACATCCCTTTGGTCATCATGTGCATCACCTACTACCAGATATTTAAGATAGCGAGGGAGCAAGCCAAGAGGATCAACCACACGTGGTGCTGCAGCAGCAACACCCCCATGCCACCCATGGTGAAAGAGCATAAAGCCACGGTGACGCTGGCAGTGGTGCTGGGAGCTTTCATCGTGTGCTGGTTCCCCTATTTCACAGTGTTCACGTACCGGGGGATGTGGGGGGACAGCAAGGTGAAAGGCACGCTTATGTCCATCGTCCTCTGGCTGGGCTACACCAACTCAGCCCTGAACCCCATCCTCTATGGGACACTCAACAGGGATTTTCGGATGGCATACAAGCACTTGCTGCACTGCTGGAGGACTGGGGGCCCCAGGATCTCTGGCCTGCCTCACCTCCAGAAGGCCCAGCCCAGGGGCAGGAGCTGCAGGCAGGGCCAGGGCAGGCAGGAGGGTAAACCCCTGAAATTGGAGATGAGGAATGGCAAGGAGATCCCGCTGACTGATGGAGCCCTCAAGAGGTAAGAGCCTTCTTAGGCTGACTGTAGGTCCATCCCTAAGAGGAAGGCAGAGGTGGGATCCCACGTTGTCAACGAACTTTCAAGCAACCATCCAGATGCCCCAGCAGGAGATCCTTGCCCAGGAAACTCCTCTTTGCAGCCACACAGAAATTCACCACAGCCAGCAGGGACCCAGCTCACATCCCTCCATGCTGACAGCACAAATCCAGCTACACCAGTTCCACATACCCCTGGCACGCCTGCAGTCACCACCCCTTCACAGGGAGCACTAAATGTCCCTAGCTTTGCTGGGTAACAGAGACAGTTTTGCTATCAGAATTTGCTGTACAGGACAGGGTGCAGCTGCTCCCAAAAACCAGCCATGTCCTGCTCTCCGGTGACATGTGGCCAGCAAAGCCTGGACACACAGCAGAGCTGTGGGGGGCTCTGGAAAGGTGGCTGCCCATCATGGGGAGGGTGACAGGGTGATAGCCCTGGGGCACAGAGTTGGGGCACCTGTGGTTACACTGCAAGTCCCTACAGGAGCTGAGATCTGGGTCCCCAACTTCCTGTGGAGCAGCTCAGCAGTTTCCCTTCCATGACGAGTCACGTGCACTCATTATTTGGGCTGTTGGTTTGCATTCAGCCCACAGCAAGTTCAATTCCTGTCTCTGGAAAGGAGCAAGAATAGCCAAAATGAGGTTAGCATTTTTTTTTTTTTAGAAATACAAATACCCATATAAAGTCAGAGCCAAAAATCCCCTCAGCATCACCCCAAGCATGTCACGAGGATCAGATCCCTTGGAGGGGTGCAGGTGCAGCAAGAGAGCAGGATGAGCGCAAGGCAGACGAGTTCTGTGCCAGGCTGTGGCACCAGTCCCCTCCCTGGGCACCCGTGTCCCTGCAGGGCTGGGCCACCCACACGCTGCCTTGCCCAAAGGCATTCACCCACCTGAGCATAAGGAGGGCGCAGGAGCGTGCTGTCTGCTGAGGTGCAAGCTGCTGCTCCCAAGACTAATTAATCTAACTTCTAGGCAGCACCTGATAAGCAGCCCAGAAACTTTCCATCTTGTAGATAAGGAGCCCTTTGAGTTCCCGTTCCCCGCAGAGAAGCCGCGCTCGTGCTCTCCTGTGGCACGTGCCCTTGATCCTGTCCCAGAAACATGGTCTCAAGCCACTGAAAGAAGAACATAGGGAGGTGAACCAAAGGGCAGAGCCATCCCAAAGGCTCAGCTGGCATTGTGCCTCCTCTGGGGCTCAGATTTGGCTTTACACAGCAGAGGGACAGCTTGAGGCAGGGGAGTCTGCCCCAGGGGACACAGAGGGATGGACGAGTGCAAATACAAGCCCACAGCTCCTGGCGCTGCGTTTTCAGCTTCCAAGGAGCTAATAAAGAGTGCAAAAGTATAGCATTTGGTAATGGTAGTTGCAGGTGTATATAAAAACATACGGAGAGCATGTGCCTGGCGTGGCAGACGTGCTTCTGCAAACACGCAGAGATGGAGGAGGAGCTGTGTCATTTACTCACACTGAAGAGCAGCTCCTGGGCAGCCAGAGCTCATTCACCAGGGCTTTCCAGCAGCCAGGGAGAGCTGGCCCAGGGGAACAGGACACCAGGACTTCCCTGCACAGCTGCAAGGGGAAAGGGAAGAAAAACATCAATGAGTTCTCAAAGCACTGCCTCACCGCAAAGGGAGTGTAATGATATGGAGGGAAAGGAAAGGGGAAGAAAAATGGGTTTCCATTCCCCAAGCAGAGGTCAGGGTCACTGGAGCCTGTCTCCTCCTGGCTTTCTCCCTCCTAGCTTTCTCAGGTAGACAAGGACCCAGCACAAGGCTCCAGACTGCCCTCCCCCCTGCAGGATGAAGTTGTCCCACCACTAAAATCAATGAGTCTCCCAGCTGGATTTGCTCCCAGGGGTGCAGGAGGCTCGAAGGAAGAGGGCGAGCAGCAGCTGGTGTTGTAACAGTGCACACACATGAGACACGGGAACCGTGGGGAAGCGAGAGAGGAAGACCCAAGCACGGGGATGTTTCTTGACCTTTCTAAATTCAGAGATCTCCTTCCCATCCTACACAGCATCACTGGTGTGGTTTCTGCTTACAGTCAGATAGGAGTTGCTCAAGCTCCGAATGATCAGTTACTGCTTTTACTTTCTGTCCTTCTTTTCTCAACCCACTCACTTGCACAGAAATGACACACCGAGGAACCCTTTTTTCCATAGATTTTTCAGACATACAAACACTGCTGTTGGCAGATGATTTGGTCAACTAATACCACACAAGATGGGTGGGCACAGGATTTATTTACCTGTACACTAAAAGCCTGGCTGCCAGTTTCATCCCATGAAAACACAAACCAAGCTGGTTCCTCTCCCAGATTTCTTTCTGCATAGCCTTCCCCAGCCACATTAACAGAAAAGACCAACACGAACCACTCCACAAACTCGTAACCCCCAAATAAGAAGGACAACAGCTCAGAAGAGCTCTCTATGCTCAGAGCAGCTTCACAAGGTCATTCAGGGGAAAGCGCAACCTGCAGCATTTTGAACTGCTGCACTTCATAACAATGTTCCTTCCTGTTATGCGGCACAGAGAAAAGACCAGCAAACAATAGTGGGAATAATGGAGACCTGCAGCCAGTCTCAGGGGTGTTAGGAGCAGGGACAGGGAGTCAGAGCCATCACTTCTTTGGAAATCAAGAGGCCATGGGAGCACCGCAGCCATTAAAGCGCTGGAGGCATTGCCATGAGTGAGTGCGGGCCAAGCAGGGGTGCAAGGGAAGACAGCTGCGCCAAAGAGGCAAGGCAATTCCTGCAAAACCAGTGAAAACCAGCACTAGTTGTATGCACACCACCTGAAGGACCTCAGGAACCTGCATCACTGCAGTGGGACAGGGCTCTGAAGAGGATCTTTCAGGCATGGCTGTGGGTTGTGAGACCAGTCCTTGAGGTTCACAGAGATAAAAAGCCTGAGGGAAGGAACATTCAGTACTGGCAGGGAGGAACCAGGCAGAAAACGCTGGAGCTGAGCAAGCAGCTCCAGGTCACCCTATTGCACACATTGGCTGTGCTCAGTGCAGTTTGGGGCACAACCGTGGCCACAATATATGGACAGAGAGAAGCCAGCTCCCATGGGATCACTGTCCCAGCCATGGCCTTCAGCAGGGCTGCATGGGGCAGACCATACCTGGTGCTCCACAGAGCAAAGCCAGGAGCCCATGGGGCTAATCCAGGCTGGCACTGATCAACTGATTTCTTCTTTTTCTCTGTTTTCTTTCTGTCTTCATGTGCAATTTAACCTTTTCCAGCCCTGGAGCTCTCCCATGAGTCTCAGCTAGCCCACTGCCCTAGGACCCACATCTCCCAGCCTTCAACTCCTGGCTGCCTTCTTCCAAAATCCTGTGAGGTTGAAAGGACAGTGCTCGATTTTCCTCAGGGAGAAGCTCAACAGCAGAGGCAAGAGTTGCAGGGTGAGTATGGGGCTGGGGTCACTGGATGCAAACAAGGGGAGGGGGCAGCTGTCCCTGCTGTGGCATCTGCTGCATTTGCCCTGGTGCAGCCATCCCATCTCGATGGCATTTGGTGCAGAGGGCAATGCCATCAGCAGTCCATCCTCAGCCCTCTCTCCAGCTGCCCTGGAGGTGTGGACTTGCATCCTTTGCGATGCCCTGGGAGATGGCTGCAGCCTGCCTGTCCCTCCACGCACTGCAGAAGCAGCTGTGTTCAGACCATGGATTTCCAGCACACTTCATTTTCATGCAAGCCTGCATCAGCTCCACATAAATTGCCAGCAGCTTTTGCAGGGATGCTGGCAGGGCTCCCAAAGTGAGGGGCTGATGCTGCACCAGGCATTGCCCCTCTCTCCCAGCAGTGGAGGACATGGCTGCCATGCATGGAAATACCTCTCAGCTCCAGAGAGCCACTTTGTACACCCCTTTTAGAGAAGGGCCTGGCAAGGTCACCCTGACCTCCACATGCTTTCCCTCCAGTGCTGCATGCTGATAACCTGGGCTCTCTGTATTGACTGTGCTCCAGGGGGGGAAATACAGTCATCCACGTGCTGGTAGCCAGGTACACTTGTCCCCACTGCACACTGAGCACTACCAACCTTAGCCAAGGTCATGGCGATGGCAAGAGCCCACACGTGCAGCCAGGAGGGAGCAGGGGCTGTTGCAGGAGAGCACAGGGGCCTGTACCCTGGGGCACAGCATCAGCTTGCTCAGAGGGAATCCCCATGACTCACCCTGGAAACGCTATTGCCTGTCAGCAGAAGGAGAACCAGAGGCTTGGAGAGCAAGGAGTCAGGAGCAGGGCAGGGCAGTGAGGTCCTCGTGACCCCCACTGGGCTGCAGGACCCTCAATGTGACACACACAAGCATCGCTTAGCGGGGAGGTGGCATCGCTATGTCCCCAGCACCAACCCATGGGAGGGAGCAGGGTGAAACCCCAAGCCTGGAGGACACAACAGCTCAGAGTGAACCTCCCTGGGGCACACACGGTGCTCACCCCCACCATAGCACATACACAAGGCAGAGTCATCTCTGCTCCTGTCATTGCCCAGCAGCAGGGGCGGAGAGGACACCAATTCCATCTCTTCTGCTTTGTACCTTCCCTCTCTGTGCTGCACATATCTTCCAAAACACATTTAGTTTCTATGAGGTAAAGGCAAAATACCAGTAATCCCCCCAAGAGCCTGCTAATCTAATCAGCAGAATGAAGTAAAGTCGGTCTAGGGGAGAGGTTTGCAGGAGATCTGAGATCCTGATGTGGCCACAGATTTCCTCTCTGCACCATGGGGGTGGGGACAGGAAATGTCACCTCACGCAGGGCACCTGCCCAAAAGAGTCCCTAACCCATTTGCAGAAGTGGGGTGAGGGCCCATGGGAGAAGGAGCATCCAGGAGCAAAGCACCATTGGTCCCAGGACACCTACTTTTATGGAGCTGCTATTTGCAGAGATTACAACCTTGCCACTGCTGGGTGGCCCAAGTGGATGGAAAGAGCAGGCAGAGAAAGCCACAAAGA